AGTCCATGTTAGAACTGGTTTTGAGGTTCTTTACTGGTATTTAACCTTCTAACGCTCTGAATCAGAGAAGCAGTGAGGTCTGAAGTGGACCTAATTAGGAGCAGAGCTGATGGGAGCAGCAGAGAGCTGAAGGAGTCTCTCCTCCTCCTCTGACCTCCTCCATCCTCCTCCCCGCGCTCCTTATTGCCTTATTATCACACATGTGACGGTCTAACAAGGCTGAGAGCCGGTGTCAGCGCCGATGATGGATAACGCCGGCCGCTCGCTGATGTCTCATTCGTTTCTATTAGACTGGTATGTAAATTCCCCCACCGCTGCTGCAACGCATTAATCTGGGAATCTGTGGTCAAACTGGCAGCTGAGGAGTCTGTCTGTCTCCATTTGGGTCTGCTGCCGGATGACGGCCTGTCAGGAGGCCCAGCACGCCGTCCAGATGCAGAGACGATAACCATGACATGTCTGACGACTCCGGCATCACCCCGATCATCTCAGAGCGAAAACAGCAGTGAGTCAAAGGCTGCAGGCATTTTAAGGTGATTCAAACTAAAGTGAAACTCTGATTTCCTCCAGAAGGGAAGACTTCTCCTTGCCTGGGTGGCCCCTGAGGGACGAATGCATTATTAAGGCTGGACTCCTCATTTCAATACGGCCACCTTCCTGCAGACGGAGAAGAGCCCTGTGGGTCATCGGCTGCTTCGTATTAACTCAGGTCAAATGAATAATCCTGAGAAACGGAGCTATACAGAGGAGAAATGTTGGACCAAACAGAGACACCTTCTACCAACGGCTGATCCACCAACGGCTGATCCACAAACCGTTTATCCAGAACAACGGCTGATCCACAAACCACTGATCCACCAACGGCTGATCCACCAACGACTGATCCACCAACTGCTGATCTACAAACCACTGATCCACCAACGGCTGATCTACAAACCACTGATCCACCAACGGCTGATCCACCAACGACTGATCCAGAACAACGCCGGACAATTTACCAAAAAGATTCAAACATCAACACTCAAACATGCAACAAATGTTTTACTGGGAATATACGAAGTTCCCTCAGGTCTGAACCAGAAGTGATCTGCGCCATCTTGGTAGGGAAGCGCAGCGTAAAGCATGGACCACGGCTTCCAGAGCACCAAAAAGAAAGTTTTCATGTGAATAATGAGGTTCTGATTACTGGCAGAGTGAGTCATCAGGTAGTAAAGTACAGGTAGGTACATGTTTAGCTAGCAGATCAAAGCTACATTAGCTAAGCTAACTTTGCAAGTCGGCAGTAAGGTGTGATGTCACATGAGGGAAGAGTACAGATTATTATCAGCTGTGGTCTCAGAAATGAACTGCACCAGTTTGGAAAAGCTTCCAGAAAATCAAACATTTCTCAAGTTAATAATCATCTAACTTTTATAAACCTTCAGCTGCTCCCTCCTAAACGTCAAGCCCTTAGAACAAACCGCCAGAAAACTGCAAAACAGCCAAAACACTGAGACTAAAAACCCAGCTGGTTAGAGAGGCGTTTGAACCATAATAACTGGAACATATTCAACATGTGTTGATGATTTTATGATGAAACTCGATAGACTGTAATGTTTGTTACTGGTTTCTGAAATATCAACCAGTTCATGAGTTACTGCATTAAATTAAAACAGCAATTAAATATTAGGCACAATAATAGGAACAGAGGAACCATGAAGAATATTTATAGCTTTTAATCTGAGCTTCAGGAGGAAACTTAAGAGCCAATCAGCAGCGAGGCCTTCGGCGTCCTGAACCAATCAATCATCCATATTCATAGTTTGTCCTGCTGCAGAATAACATCTGTTTTCCAACAGCCTCCATCTGCTGGAGGGGTTTCTGACCCGGCTCCGCAGGGGCAGGGCGCAAACATAAAGGTCTGCTGGTTGGACTAGAACCAGCAACCTTCAACCAGTTCACCTGCACACGCTGCAAAGGGTCGCCATGGCGACCGTCAGTACACCCAGGGGATTCAGTCGTTCCATCACGAATAGTTTCTCTGGTTCTTCATCAGTCACTAAACCTACCACCACCATCATCATCATCATCATCATCATCATCATCATCATCATCATCATCATCATCACCATCATCATCCTGTTTCCAACATTTAATTTATCATTCAGGTGTTTTTATTTGGTTCTTTATCATTTGTAAATATTATATTATTATTATTATATTTATATTTTTATTATCATTTTTATTTTTTATTGTATTATATTATTTTATTATTATTGTGGTTTTTCTTATTACTTTTATTGTTGTATTTTAAAAGTTTTACATTTTTGTTAAATATTATTGTTACAAATATTGATAATAATTGCTTTAATTATTATAATTATTGATAAGGAAAAATAATAATAGCTGATAACTAGATGTAGAGAAAACACAATAGTAGAAATTATGTCCCTTATTATTAATAATAATCAGCATTATTGATAATGTGTTATTTTTGGTTCATATTCATCATATTTTCATTGCGACTAACTGTTTCGGTTTCTTTTCTCTTCTCAGTTGAAATATTAATCTTTATATTTTATGACATCTTCATGCCTCTACTGTCTGTTTTCTTTAAATCTCCATTGTATTAATTTAAGTTCATTATTGGAATTGAAGACATTTTTCTGTTTCCCCTTTAAATCTTTTTCTCTCCTCTCTGGTGTCTATTTACGTTTCTTTCTGTATTTCCTGTTTACTCTGTCAGGTGTTTGTCTCTGTTTTGCTTTAGTTTCATGGTTTTCAGATCTCTGAATGTTTCCAGGGTCGTTCTGATAGTTTTGTGTCGTTTAGCAGGACGGCGGTAATTTAAGTTTCTGTGCGGCGCCGAGCCGCTGCTCTCTGGGTTTAAGGACAGGTTGGGTTGAGGTGGTGGATCCCAGCGGCAGCTGAACGGGGTCAGAGCCGGCGCCTCGCCGCTCGCCGGGCCCGGCAGGTCCCGGCAGGTTCCAGCAGGTCCCGGCTCTCTGGAGGGATTCAGGATGGAGGTCCTCATTAAAGCTCCCCCCGCTCTGGCCCCGGCCCCTCTGAGAAGCGGGCGGCACCTGAACGTATGCTGGACCCGTCCAGGTGTCAGGCAGCAGGTGTCGTCTGACAGCTGGTCACGTGTGAGAGGGTCTGGACCCGATCAGGAGTTAGAACCAGAGAAGTTGATGTTCGGTTGGAGTTACAGGGAGATTCAACTGCAGATCAGAAACTAAAAACACTGAAACTCACCAAGTATCTTTGTCTGGTTCCTACTGAGCTTAGAGCACTTTAAATAAGACTAAATATTTATGCTGTTTATGTGTTTCTATCTGGACCCAAATTTCATTCTTAAAACAACCATAAAGATTTTATTCCATGAAATCTTGGATTAAGGCAATAATTTAATAATTTGGTGCCGTAATTTTCTCCAGATGAACAGAAACCAAACAAACCTGAAACCTGAACATTAAAGATAAATAAACTTTACATTACAAAGTTTCTGTAACTAAATCCTAACAAGTATTTTTCATCTAGTTTCTAGTGCTGATATGTTAGCACAAGAGAAATTAGTTAAAAATAACTCTTTATAAGTCAGTAGAAATATGAGCTTGTATTGTAAAATATTGAGTTCCACTGGTAAATTATTTCACTAGTAACATGGGAAAAATGTCATTTTATAAGTGAAATAATCTGCCACTGGAACAAACTTTTTCATCAATATTAAGGAATTATTGACTTAAAGGAGCTCTAATATTTTGCTGAAAAGTTTTCTGTAAGTTAGATTAGTTTTATTTTAACTGAAATTAAATATTTACACTGGAAACCAAATAACATTATTTTTGCACTGTGGTTTGTTAAGTTGCTTTTTGCTGATTTAAAATATTTAAATGTGACAAAAAAAAAACATGACTTTTATTCTTATTATACATTTCATAAATATTGAAGATATTTCCTTAAACAAGCTCCTCTATGTTGCTCTAAAGTTCCCTGTCAGTTACTTTTGTCTCATTTCAACTGTATTAAGAAATTTGCAGTAGGAACCAGACCAAACTACTTGGTAACATTTTAGTTTTTGCAGCGTCAGGCCCGTTATTCAGGAGGTTCTGCTCCGGCCCGGTCCTCCTCTGTCCGGCCAATGCGGCGTGGAGCGAACAGGAAGCAGGAGGAGGCTCCACATTATGCAGGCGGCGGCGGTGCGGCCTGTCAGCGGCTAATGGCAGCGAGGATGATGGATGGTGTTTATTGTGGGACGGTGACGGGCCGCCGCCCCCCGCCTGATCATCATGGTAATAAAAAGGACACATCAGGCGGCGAGTTATTGAATTATCACAGCATAATTTGCATTAACTCTGGCTGCAGGGACCCGGGATGGGCCGAGGCGGCTGGAGGGGGCTGACAGCAGATCGGCTGGATACAGGCTCCACCTTGAGCTGCTCCATCCGTCCTTGGACCCCCACGGATCTCCAGCCTGACTCCGTCATGATGGACAGAACAGACCCATCCAGCAGACTGTCAGTATGAGGCAGGAGGGCCAAACCATCATACCGCCACCACCATGCTTCACTATGACTAAACATCTAGCAACACAGAGGAAGCATCCAAGAGAACCGGTCCAGATCTAAGGACGCGTTCACACCAGCACCATTTAGTCCGCTTTAATCCAGCACTGTTTGATTTGGGACCAAAACTGAAACATTTGTTACATTTTCAGCTGCTGTGATTATTTTTCTCAAAATATACATAAAACAATGCATATACATAAAAGAAACCAGCTGGTTTGGAGAAGTAAGGATACTCACTGCTTCAACCATCCAAAGAGGCTGTTCATGTTAATAATATTAAACAGTCTATATTCAATATATTCATTATACTAATTAGTAAAAATTCTTTGAATTTCTCTCAGTAAAAATGTTTTATTTTTGTGTGAAGGTAAAAACAACAAAGAAGCAGAAAAATCGCCTGATTACTTGCAGCAATGCTAGTTAGCATAGTTAACTATGAACAGTTTTGCTCACCTGCTTCACAGGGAGGAGTCAGGCTGGTCTGCGGGGTTAGAGGTCATGGCTGCTGCTGACTTTGACTCATCTGTTGATAAATATGGTAAAACGTATGGAGACAAGATAAATATATGAATCTTTATAAATCTTTTCGTTCACTGATTGAATGAGGTGAAGTGGAGGCTAATACTCGTCTGTAGCTAAGCTAGCTAAGTCTGAACAGTGCTGCTCACCTGCTTCACAGGAGGAGTCAGGCTGGTCTGGGAGGTCAGGGGTCAGGGCTAACCTGGGTAAGCTAACATGTTCAAGTCAACATAATCACAAAACCTTTAATCACTAACAGGTCTGACTAACCCACGGATTTTATTTTGTTCCTTTTGCTGTTGGACAGTTTAATGTTCTATTTATATTTCTCCAAATAAGTTTATAAAATCATTTTTAAAATTAGCTGTGACTTCTGACCGGAAGAATCGTTTGCACATGAAGCGCAGCTGCGCTTTCTACTTCGACATGAATTTTTTAGCTGGCTATAAGTCAGTAAGGAGAGCGGCGCCATCTAGTGTCTGTAAAAACGAACTGCAGGCTGACGTCACGGTTAACTCTGTTGGTAAATGTGGTTAAAGGAAGAGCAGTGACAAGTTAAAGTTATGAATATCTTTACAAATATTTGTTTTCAGAGATTAAATGATAGTGAGTTACAACCTTACACTCATCTGTAACTAAGCTAACAGATACAGTAGCCTCCTGTGTTGGACAAAAACGCATGGTGAAATATTTTTTATATTTTCAATACTATAAACAAAAAAGGTTTTAACACATGAATGTAGTAGATCATTGAATATTTTTAATTTGTCATGATTTCTGCTTTTTGTTTTTATACCTAAGTCTGTGGTATAGATTATTTCATATTTGTGTTCTGCTCCTAGTTTCTTCTTTGCAAACAAAGATACTTTCTCAAAAATAAACAAACAAAAATAAATAAATAAATAAATAAATAAATAAATAACATTCACCATCAGAGAAACAATTAGATTTGTCTTTGTGTCAAGATGAGTTTTGGGTTTTAAGTGATGTCTATTTTATTAACACTTTATTGTTTTTGGTAAAAGCTCTTTAACATGTAAAACAATCAACATAGCCTGAGAAGCTTTAGGGTCTCTGTCACTTTAAATCCAAATAATAATAATAATAATACCAATCACATATTCAATCAATTACATAACTTTGAAAAGTAGAAGTAGAGGCTCCTGCACAACCAACAAGAATGTAGCAAGTGGTTTCCGGACGGTGAGTGAACAATAAAACTCTTGTGTTTTCCAGCAGCCATTGTATAGCGCATTGTATGTCGGATAAACCAGCTGACTAAACAGGCTGGAGATCAGCTGGGGTTGCTAGGTAACGGGCTTTGCTGGGGTTGCTAGGTAACGTTATAAATACCAAAAAAAACATTAATTTATCATCAAAAACTGTCTGTCTGCTTTTATGGAAGAATAAAAACGAGCAAAATGAATTTACGTTCTCTTTAAGAAAATAAAGACGTTTAAAAAGTGGCGCGCCCTCTAGTGGACAGAAGCAGCTCCTGCAGGTGGACAGTCTGGCGTTCAGCAGGAAGATGAGGAGAGATGCTGCAGTGCGGCATCATCCCCCCACCCCCCCGGCCTCATGACGTCATCAGGGGGTCGGGGCGGGGGTCCTCCATATTAAACAGCCACATTAGAGCGTTAAACGGAGGGCAGTCGCCTCCAACACCAGAACTGGAAGTGACCCCGCTCCTCTCCCCGCCTCGGCCCCTTCCCATCATGCTCGGCGGGCTCCCAGGAGCCCCTCAGCCCCCCTCCCTGCCATCTGCCGTGATTTATAGAAAACAGCCGATGATTTATGGGCCAGTCAGCGCCTGATGAAGTTGTTCTCTCTCATCGCAGCGACCTCCCGACCCGCCAGCCCGGCCGGTGCTAATCATGCGGCGAACGGGGCCCCTTAATGAAATTAGGGCTCCACGGGGCCAGAATACTGATGGAGCTGAACCATCCGGGTCCGATTAGCACTCAGAACCGCCCAGGAGTCCTGCAGGCACAGGCGGCACAGGAACGGCCTAGTCAAAGGGTGGAAGAACCAACAGAATAAATAATAAACATGCAGTTAAACTTCAAATATTTCAGTCACAACCTGCTTTTCCATCTCTGAAAAACCTCTTGGACAGGAAGTTGATTTTAAAACAGCATTTCATTCAATCCAGTTTGAAATTAAACAATTTAAACCGATTTAATTGATTTCACATCTGATCACTAATCAATGATTAGTAATCAGTCATCATGTGAAGTTTGCTGTATTCAGGAAGCTTGTAACCTCTTTATCCCACCTCCAGTTATTAACACTTTCTGAGTAAATGAGTTTAAATCTTGCTGGTTCCGAGTCCAGGTTCGGGTTCCGGTTTGGTTTACCTGTCTGCAGGTGAGGAGCGACGAAGCCGAGCTGAGCCGCAGCAGTAAACAGCGAGCTGAGAGCGCCACCTGCTGGATCTAACAAGGACAGTCAACCAGCCCCAATGCCACATGGGAAATGCAGTCCGGCGCGTAAAACAAGTTAGAGAAACTAAAATCTCCTCGCTACATCACTTGATCTGCAGCAGATTTTTGGTGCGTCATCAGGGAGCGCTGCAGAACTCATCGACGTGATTGGCCTGGCGGACGGCTGCGGGAACTGCGCGAGAGGATCTGCGGTGGCTGGTGGGCGGCGGTGCGGGAACCCCCGCAGTGGCCATTGTCCAAAGATCCATGATGGAATAACAGGAGTAACAACCACAGGACTAATTACAAAGTTATCCATTCCAATATCTTTTACTTTATAATTATCCATCCAAAATTATTAATTACTTTTCTTTTTCTTGACAAGGTTGCAGCGTAACATGTGGAGGATGAGTTTCATTATGTCCTTTAATATTTGTCCAGTAAGCCTAGTTGTTCTCTCCGGAGCTCCAGCGGCGTCTCACCCAACTCAACCTGTAGAGCTGAAACTGTTGTTTTCATCGCTCCACAACAAAGTCTTAATGCCTGATATTATTCTATCTATTTTTACAATAAACTACTTGAAGCTGAATTATATAAAATACACCCATAATCAAAAATTGATCTAACTAGTCCGATGTAAATTGTCTTTAATCCTTTTCTATCTGCTCCCCATTCATTGTCTCTCAAACATCTCATAATATTTAAAATTCTTTTACTTTTTTTTTTCCAATTATTTTACCTACATGTATCTTCCATGTAAGTTTTTTTTTTATCAAACCAAATACCCTAATATTTAATTTGATCTGTCCTTTCTATAACATCCCCACACAATTTGAAATTCACATTAAATATTTATTTCCTTTTTATATTTTTTCACCATGTGTTATCAGTGAATTCAGACTCATTTTAATGCTTAAATTCATATTCCAGCTGCATTTAAAAATCAGAATACATTTTAAAAAGTGAATAATTAAATTATTATTATTATTATTGAGCACTTTTATCTGTGGGAAGGAAACATTATTCCTAAAAGGCTCCAAGGAATATTGTTAGTGCCTCCCCTGGTGGCGTCTCAGTGTCCACATGGAAAATAATAAATCTGTCAATAAATCAATACATTTATATAGTAAAGCATGAAATAAAACAAAATTAAGTTCGGAATATCATTTTAAGTACATTTTGAGAGTCTTGGTTGTTTTTATGTGATTTTGGTCATAGTTGAAGTGATTATATTTTTTGTACTAATTGTGATAGAGATGGATAAAATTAAGCCAGCAGGTGGCGCTGTTTGTCTGTGGTTATCACAGTAGTGAACAAGTAGCAAAAGTTAAATTTAAGAAACCGCAGCGATTAAGGGCTGAACAAAACATCTCAATAAAAACAAATTGAAATAGAAAGATAAAATATGTTTCTGATAATATCAGTTTTTTAAGACGTTCACTGGTAAATCATTTATAAGACATAATTCCATACAAGTGAGTTTGAATCTTGGTTTTAATCTGATTGGACGGCTGCTGGTTCCCTGGAAACCATCAATCTGATATATTTTCATGGCATCTGGACCAAATAGACACATTTAATGTTCTGTAATCAGAGCTGCTGCAGATTAACACTTTTATAAAACCTTTCTGAACCAAAAAACATATTTTCTGCTGTAGTTCATAAATAATGAGCAGCCTGTGATGCCCTGTTTTTTCCCAGCATGCATTGTAAACCCACAGTAGCCTGATGTAAACAGACTGATGTGTGCGGATGGCTTCTTCCTGTCTGAGCGGCTTTTCAGCCCGGGTCAGTACAGGACTTAATGAACACAAAAAGAGGAGAAGAAGAAGAAGAGTGATTGTTTATTGGAGGGGATAAATATGTCCAGCAGAACTGAAATATAAGGTGGATCCAACCCAAAGCGTCGGCGCCATGCATCTGCAGCTTATTTACAGCAGCTCCATGTTTCAGTCCACCTTAAAGCAGCAGCTTAGCATTAGCAAAGGTTAGCAACGGTTCAGTTAAGGAGAGTCGACCCAAAGGCACACGCTAACAACAACAGGCTGGTTCTGGAGGGAGAACCAGGAACTGAATCAGACCGAAGGTTCTGAAAGGTCCAAACGGTTCTGGAAGGAAAGCAGGAAGCAGCCCGCTGCTTGGCGTCTAGACTCCGTCCTGATCCAGGTCCAATTCAGAACTAAACATTATGAGTCAACTCGGCGTGAAACAAATGAGAAACAGCTGCAGAGACTGGACTTTGACTAGGCCACACCGGCGGAGCTCAGCACCGGTTGGAAATACAATTAAACCATCAAAAAGCAAAAACTTACACAAAATAAATCCATGGAAAACTTGTTCACATTTCTAACTTACTGAACTATTTCTCAAATTTTTTCTGATTTATTTTGCTTAAGATTAAAAGATGATTTGCTGCCAGCAGGTGGCGCTGTGTCAGTGGAAAACCTGGAAAATATCGAAAATAAAACCAAAAATAAAAATAAAATCTTTAAATAATTACATTTAGTGAGGAAGAAAAAACAAGAAATATTCCCAAAAAGAAGCTTACTTTAAGTTTAAGAATTTTGAAATGCAAAAATTAATTTAAAACGTCAGTTCTACTTCTGAACTACAAGGAATGAACTACATCAGATAAGTGAACTAGTTCTTTTTCTTCTGAGGTGTTCATATTCTGACAGATTTATTCTGGTGCTGCTGCCGTCCCGTCAATAAACAGCAGAGCTAAAACAATAATAATAGTAATAATATTAATAGCAATAATAATAGTACTAAGGTAAACAGCGGCGCCTCCCGGTGGAAGCAGTAGTTAAACCATCCAGTGTGCTGATGAGGAAACCCACTGAGTTTCTGATTATTGCTAAAGTCCAGACTTCACACCGATTGGTGAACAACGTCCAATCAGGGGGAAGCTCAACTGATTGGTCGGTCCATCTCTCAGGTTGAGTCTGATTGGCTGCTGGTCGATCGATCAAAATGTTCACATTCTGAAAAGCGGCTCCTCTGCTGATGATCAATATTTAAATCCCAATACTGATTATTGGCAGCTATAGTTCAGTGTTGCGCTGAGGGACCAGCAGTAGTCTTCCTCAGGACCTTCATCCAGCTCATGCATAGTTGAACAACTGTGGATCAGCCATCAGCTGCGTCTCCATGGAAACACAATATTGACAGGCGTGGAATCATTAATCAATAATTAATTGGTAAATTTGCACTAAAAAAAATCAAAACCGAAGCATTTCAGGATCCAACGTGGTCACAACTGAAACATCTCTGGTTGTCATAGAGACTCCGCCTCCTGCTCTGATTGGCTCCGCCCACTGAATTAAAACCAGTTCTGATTGGCTCCGCCCACCACTTTAAAACCAGTTCTGATTGGCTCCGCCCACCACTTTAAAACCAGTTCTGATTGGCTCCGCCCACCACTTTAATACCAGTTATGATTGGCTCCGCCCACTGAATTAAAATCAGTTCTGATTGGCTCCGCCCACTAATTTAAAGTCTTAAAGGTCTATATCCTTGCCGACACGTTAACTGTTATAATACGACGACAGATTCTGTTCTAAAACCGAAAACCTGCAGCAGGAAGTCAGAGACGTGGTTTTGGTCAACAGAACAAGGACAGGTGAGGCTTTAAGAAGGAAGTGATGAAAGTCCCACAGGAAGTGACATCCTGCAGGTTTCTCCCGCCATTGGCCAGCCAGATGATCAGCAGTGAAGATCTCTACATTCATCCTTAAAGCTCCTCCTCTTCCTAAGGCTGGAGGCTGGTGGAGGTGGAGCTCCGCGGGGTGCAGCAGGAGGAGGTGGGGGTCAGTAGGAGGAGATGTCGGAGGAGCTGCTGCTGTTGCTGGTGGAGGTCTGAGCTCTCTTGATGTAGAGATTCAGCAGCTTCATCTGTAGAACAGATTATGGAATAAAATTATGACGTGGTGATAAGTTTGGGTAAATATGTTATGACTACAGCTCTAAAATGTAAACATGGGAATTATGGGTAACGGTGTCTCTAGATGAAACTGCTCAGCTGTTTGTGCCTCAGGCAGACAGAGGCATTGTGGGTAGTGGCGTACCTTGCTGCCGGTCAGCTGGGACAGGTAGGGTTTGAGCTCCTCTCCGATGACGGCGTAGACGGCCACCAGGCAGAAGACGCTGGCCTTGCGGACGCTGCTCTCCGTGTTGTCGTAGCCCTGCAGCAGGCCGGGGATGACGTCCGGCAGCAGCTGCAGCAGCGGCTCCCTGCAGACGCGCTCCACCGCGCGAGTCTGCATCTTGATGGCCGCCAGGTTGACGGGGTAGTCGGTGGTCTGGACGATGGGGCACAGCACCTTGATGCACTGCTCCGGGTGGATGGAGCCGGCCAGGGCGGAGGCCGCCTCCTCGGCCGCACGCACCACCTGGAGGAGGAGGAGTATCTTCTTTGCAAACTGATTCACAGCCTTAAATACATCAAACTTTAAGTTTTTCTGCAGTCTTTGTTAGCAGTAAATGATGACATCATCATCATCATCTAGACCAGGGGTCCCCAAACTTTTTCCTGTGAGGGCCAC